ACTGGGCAGCTGAGCATCAAAATTATATACACAGATGGAGTGATAGATATTTTTGTATTGTTGAGTAAATTGAGTCAACTCCCCAGGAATCAGATTACTACACTTGGTATTGGAGGATAACCAGAAGATGGATACTCCATGCGACCACATCCCCGGTTGAGTTGCAAAGAGGATATGTGCCTAGGGGTATAGATGAGAGAGAATTAGTAAGTATTTTCAAATTTATTTTTATTAGTATTTTTTAATATTGCTAAATTGTGTTTTTTTTTTAAATTTGCAGGTATCAGCAATAGATGATGTTCAAACCATTACAAATCGTGGCTTGGAATTGGCTCGAGCAGGTAATGTAGAATTAAATATGAAATTTACATATTGTAATTTGAATTTTAAAGTAATTTTTGCATTTCGGATTTTTTTGAATTATCTCTCGCAGGTACATATCCCGAAGCACAGAAACATGCATCAATATATCAGTCGATAATGCAGAGGCTTCACCAAGCCTTACATCGAACTCATGAAGACCTTCATAATGGACGAGAGGTAGCGCAATTAGTATACACACGTCAACCACGACAAAGACGAGGACGACGCAGAAACGACAATGAAGCTGGGCCTTCCCAACGTGTTGACGACGGAGCTGGACCGTCACAACCACAAACGCAACCGAATCATGAACTCATCGAAGGTCGGGATGGAGGAGGCCGAAGACAAAGGAGGAGGAGAAGAGTTCTTGGATGTATGTAAGCTAATCATTATTGTTATATAAATTACAATCCTATTTTGATATGTACATTACAAACGTATTTCGGGACAATAGATGATTTTTGGATTTGTAGCCGAGACTGTGGTGTGACTTATTAGATTCGTAAGTGGGTTTGTGGCGTGATTTGTTGGATTTGAATTCGTAAGTGGGTTTGTGGCGTAATTTGTTAGATTTGTATGAGTTTGTGGTGTATTTTATGATTTTTAGATTTGATATATGTGTTTATACAGGGAATTGATATGAAATACATGCATATTTGTGCAGGAATACATTTGAAATATATGCATTTGAAATATGAGTTTGTACATGGAATTGCAACAACGCAGGGCAGGAATAACATGGCACATTTGTGCATGAAATTCGTGTAGTCGTCTCGTCTCCCCTCCCTCCCTCAAGCTCGCCGCCGCCTCCCTCGCCGGCGTCACCGCCTCCTGCTCCGCCCTCCGTCCGCCGCCGCCACCTGCCTCTCCTCCTTCCGCATCGCGCCTCGCTCTCCTCCCTCGACAAAAGCCTGGCCGAGCCCCGTCGATCCTCGTCAACCGGTTCCGATCGCCCGGCAGAGCTCGCCTCGTCAACCAGCCTATGCCGCGTCCTCGCCGATGAGCGGGGCCCACTCGTGATGCGCTGCGAGAGCTGGCCCGGGCGGCCCCCTCGTGGGGGCAGCCTCCGCGCGCGCACGTGGTTAGGGCTGACGTGGCCGGGCTGGAGAGGAGGAGGAGGAGGAGGCCACGGCGGAGGTGGAAGTGGTGGATGGAAGGGGCTGGGAAGGCGGAGAGGCTACGGCCGAGGTGTTAGGGCTGACGTGGAGCGGAGTTTGCGGGGGAGGAGGGGAAGGGCGGTGGCGTGGCGGTGGTTGTGTTGTGGTGGCGGTGAGGTGCGCGCCTCCGGCGAAAGAAGAGGAGGGCCGCGGTGAGGAGGCTTGCTGACGGTGGCCAGCGCTGTCAGGGCACGAGGTAGGCCTATTAAGCGCAATGCGCACTTGACTAGACTTTTATATGATGTAGCATGTTTGGCACAAAAAAGTAAGTAGAAAGTAAAATTTAAGAGTCCAATAAAAAAGAATTTCTTTGACGATGTGTAATTTCTTACTGCTTTCTATGTAATACATATATGTCTGTATTCAATAGGGTTAAATGCTAATGTGTCATTGTCCATTTTAAGTTATTTTCTTCTATCACTTTTCACTTACCAAGCCGGAATAAATAGGTGTGTTTTGGTAATCAATGTTTTTTTTTGTGTTTTGTAAAAACACCATGCCATGATGTTTTTTTTTTCAAATGTGTTTTGAAACACCATTTTGGTCAAACTAGTTTAGCATTTTATATAGCGCAGTGGCGGGCGCGAACAGCGACGGTCGGGGCGGGGTGGCCGCTGACGGGCGGCGGGTGAACGACGACTGTCGGTCTATTGGCGGGTAGCGGTGAGTGCGCGGCGGCCGGCCGACGGGCGGCGGTGGTGGGCGGGCCGACGGTGGCCGACGGGTGGCGCGATGGTCGGCTGACTGCGGTGGCGTGTCGGTGGTGGTCGGTTGACGGGCGGTGACGGTGGCGGTGTGGGAGCGGCCGCTGCGATAGGCCGGCGGGCGTGGCCAGTGGGCGAGCCGACTGGTGCCGGCGGGCGGCGGTAGACGGCGCGGCGACAGAGGCGGGTGAAGGTGGCTGGCGGCTCGGCTAACGGGCGGCGCGGCGGCTGGCCGGAACGACGGAACGGACGGTGGCCGGAGGTGGCGGCGGCCCCGAGGCGGCGGGCGCGGTGGTGGCCGCTAGCAGCGACGGGGTGGCGGCGGCCGGCTGCGGCGGGCGAGCGGGCTGCGACGGCTTAGATGAAAAAAACTGAATGTTGACTAGACTTTTATATGATGTAGCATGTTTGGCAACAAAAAAGTAAGTAGAAAGTAAAATTTAAGAGTCAATAAAAAGAATTTCTTTGACGATGTAATTTCTTACTGCTTTCTATGTAATACATATATGTCTGTATTCAATAGGGTTAAAATGCTAATGTGTCATTGTCCATTTTAAAGTTACTTCGCTATCACTTTTCACTTACCAAGCCGGAATAAATAGGTGTGTTGTAATCAATGTTTTTTTTGTGTTTTTGTAAAAAACACCATGCCATAGATGTTTTTTTTTTCAAATGTGTTTTGAAAACACACATTTGGTCAAACTAGTTTGACCATTTTATATAGCGGCAGTGGCGGGCGCGACAGCGACGGTCGGGGTGGCGGTGGCGCTGACGGGCGGCGGGTGAACGACGACTGTCGGTATTGGCGGGTAGCGGTGAGTGCGCGGCGGCCGGCCGACGGGCGGGCGGTGGTGCGGGCCGACGGTGGCGCGGGTGGCGATGGTCGGCTGACTGCGTGTGGCGTGTCGGTGGTGGTCGGTTGACGGGGCGTGACGGTGGCGGTGGGGAGGCAGCGGCCGCTGCGATAGGCCGGCGGGCGGTGGCCAGTGGCGAGCCGACTGGTGCCCGGCGCGGCGGTAGACGGCGCGACAGAGGCGGGTGAAGGTGGCTGGCGGCCGGCTAACGGGCGGGCGGCGGCGCTGCCGGACGACGGACGGACGGTGGCCGCGAGTGCGGCGGCCCGCGGGCGGCGGGCGCGGGGTGGCGCTAGCAGCGACGGGTGGCGGCGGCCGGCTGCGGCGGGCGAGCGGGCTGCGACGGCTTAGATGAAAAAAACAGAAATCATTTAAATACCTTTTTGGTGTTTTGAGAAAAATATTTAATTTCTAGATTTTGTAAATGGACAAGTCAAAAAAACGCCCCGGTTGTCAAACACGTTTCTTTGTTTTTGTTGAAAAAAACCAGAAACGGCAAAAACGCCACGGTTGCCAAACGCTCCCTAAATTAATAAATAAATAAATAGAGCGACTCTCCAATCTGTTGTTGACTTTCCGTTTACTTGCTGGTTGTCAAACACGCCACAATCAAAATAATTTTACGTCTCATCATTTTATATATTCAGAATTTCAGATATTCTGATATGGACCCAGATATATATCTCCACCCTACAAAAAGAGAAAAAGCTATCTGTGTTCTTATTTACATTCTATTGGTGTAAATACTTAAATTCATATCCATTTCCTGTTGGATTAAGATTCAAATATGTCTATGAATATCATTATCAATATCCTTGTATATGTACGCACATGTTTACACCTAATGTAGTTTAGTTTGTAAACATGTTGCTCAACTTTGCTAGGCCTGAACTTGGTGGTGGTACTAACTCAAAAAAAGGCACTAAAATCCGCAAAGCAAGCTGAAGAACTTAGGAGGGAGGTGGCCTACAGAGCAAGAACAGACTGTGTGTACTTCATCGAGAACTACACAGCAGGGATCACTCTAAATGTTCGTCACCCAATTCCCATCAAGATTGACTTTGACACTCACCTAACTGTGCTTGCAATCATCAGACAATGCATTGAGTTTGCCCGGCTCTATAGGAGCCGTTCATCAAGCAAAGCTAATCCTGTGAGCTCTTCCGCTATTAATTTGCCATAATGTATATATGATGTATGTATGTATATACATTGTTTTTAGAATCTCATAGGTCTCTCCATATCGTTATATCAATGTATAGTTGTTGAGTTGGTGATATATGCTACACCTTTCGCTATTGAATGATGTTTATTGTTTAACTTTCTCCCATGACTTGCTTATGTTTTACTAATACGTCTACTTCTCTTGTAGTCATACTAGTCTAGTAGTTTTTTTCTCCCTCATATATACAAATGGACATGTACACTTTGTTTATTGGAAAAGAATCATTTAAGGGTGTTCTAGAGAAAATAATATCGAGAGGAAGGAGAATGTGACATGTGTCCCAACACGCATTTAGAGTTGGTGATAGCCCGATAAAAGATTCTAATTGCACTCATGTCTTAAATGATCGCACTGGTATTTGCAGTTTTACTGATTTCACTGATTCAAAATTGGAAGAGGAAACGCTGATTTATGTTTTCCTTCCTCCCTTTGTTAATTTCTATAGAGGCCTCTATATTAGATTTGTTCCCTTGGTTATTTGAGTCATGGAAAGAAAAGTATATAAGGTCTGAAATGAAATTCGTAGATTTTGACATCAGCAGAGACTATAGATATATTCAACCGACAATGCATTAACTATTATTATTCATAAATCATGAAACACTTCACTCTAGTTACACAATCAAGCTACATGACTCTACATGTCACACACTGTAATGCTGCATTAGCTAAATCAACTAGAAATAAGGAGGACGGTTTTATGGGCCTCTGTTTCTGTGAATTAAGAGTCCAAGCACCAACAGTAGTAGTCAGATGCAGAAATCTCCAGCAGGGCCTCTGGAGTCATCCTCTCAAGCTCTCTCTGTCTCCAAGATGGAAATTTATTACGGCTTTGAGCTTCACCTGATCCTGAGGAATAGTCACGTGGGTGGGCCTGTGAGCGCATTCTGACATATAGCCTCATGGCTGCTACACAGTCCTCATATGGATCTTGTATGCCATTTTGAATTTCATAACTAGTCATTCGAAAGGGAGGGGTAAATTCAAGTGAGTATTTGCTCGAGTATAATATGGATATGATAACCGATGTAAAAATGGTTGTATTTTTATATATTCCACACTGCTTATCATGGTGCACACATTTGAAACGGAAAGAAACAAATTTTATATATATGCATCAGGGTTGGTGGACCAATCAAGATGTAATTGAATTTAGTTGTTTTGAGTTATTCTAGGGTGTAAACTTAAATGATGAAGAAAATCATAATGTACTTACTACTTAGTACTTACCCAAGGTAGGCGTGTGTGAGATACTTGAGTGAGTTGCTAAGCATGCTTGTTTTCATCAGTGGGGGATAACTGGCAGTGTCCCTGTGAGAAGGCAACTATGTAAATGCAAAACAAAAAACTATCATTAGGTTTGCAAGAATATTTGATGTATAAGAACCTCAATTACCTGATAAGAAGTGAAGGGTATTCAATTCCTAGACATCCTAAATCGTGATCTACTCCATGTCCCACCAGAATCCTTGCCCTTCCACCCTGTGATCGGATTTTCCATAGTGCTTCCCCATTGCATAAGAAATCTTGAATCTTCCTTTGAGCTAGCTTCAATGGGATTGCATCCCTCAAGTTTTCGGGCCTTATTCCCGTTGTTTCGTACCTATGAAGTTGTCCAAAATTCAGATGTATCAGGAATACAAACCACTTCAAGAAGATTACCAGTACTATCCAGTTCAGAAATTTTCTTTTGTTACCTGTAGTTTGTGACTGGTAGCCGAGGTCTGATGTAAGTGTGGAAGATGATATTTTCATTTTCATCAATGAGGCAAACCCTAGCACAGAGATCTAATGTTCCATCACTTCCTCCTCCGACCATTTTGCAACCCAATGCCACCACTCTGGCTCCATGAGCTCTGGCATCAAAGTCTGATGAGCTTTGTAAACCCAATCTCGACATGCGGCTGATGAGGCCCTACAAGCAAAAGGTTCAAAAACTTACATCTAATTCTCAGTATTTTATATTTTTTGTCGTGAAGTTTTATTGAGACCCTCGTGCAATTTGATAATACTCTGACAGTATTACCAAATTAGGTAACACTACTGGTCGAATAGATCTGTAATGTAGGATTTTGTTAGTCGCGCTCACTCCCAATGATACGTTGATGCTGACCCTTTATACACCACTCCCCTTAGATCCCCTCTTTAACAAGCACAATAAAGAACAAGCCAAGCGCCTTCTGCAGATGAAACTCTTGAGTAGACAGAGATCTTAAAGGTGGAGCACCTTGAGGTCCTCTTATCATCTCTTTTTCATCTCCCATATGGGCATTGATTTATTTCTTCATGAGCAGTCAATATATATGTACTTTAAAAAATAAATCTATATTTGAACGAAATTATCTTCAGTGGAACTTAAGGGTAATTTTCACAGCAGTACCACGAACTGTTTAGGGGCTTTGCGCAAAACTATGGTAAACAATTTTTATGAGATAAAAATACCCCAACTTTAAAATCCCAAAAAAAAAACACTATGTAATATCAGAAAAATTTACCACTGGTGTTAACAGTGTTGTCAAAAAGTCCAAAATACCCCAACTATTTCTTTATAAAATAGGATGAATTGAGACGGTATTTTCTAAATATGTAGTTATGTTGAATATATCAACCATTTCTTTATTTTTGGATCGCCTGGAAATGACAAAAGAAACATCTTATGTTTTCTTCAAAATTAAGGGGAGAGGTGAGAGAGTAGTTATAAAGAGAGTAGCTAGTTATAAAAAATAAATAAGTGCAAAAACGTCTAAAATATGCTATGTTCATGTCACTTGCCAACTTGCGCAAATATCTGTCAGTCACAGCAGTTCAGTGAAAAGAAGCTGTAATATTTTTCTTGAATAAAATCGTTTATGAAGATTTTGTGTAAAATTCCAAATAGTTAATTGTAGTTTTATAAAATTTAACAAAACTTAACTTACCGAAGTAGAACGGGACATTTGACAATGTCTGCTATGATGTGTTAGAGTGGTCTGGCTATCAAAAATTTTCAGGCACAAGTTGCACCCTCGAACATCAAATACCTTCGAACACACTAACTTTGGCAATGGACCTGGTTAAAGGGAGGATTTAGTAAGTTCCATCGTCCTGCTGCAATTAGCTTGAACTAACACGAGTCTTATCGCACGTTTGTCATTTAAGTTCTTACTGACCTATGAGATGTTCCCTTAGCGATTCAAATGATCTGCAGTGCTTCTGACAAACCCCACACATGGGTTCATGGACCGAGTGGAATGAGACCCTCATGTGCTCCACCAAATGCTCCATTCTGTTGAATTGCCTAAAGCAAGCTGCACACTTGTTCCTTGCAGAGGAGGGAAATAGACATTTTTAAATAGATTGCATGACTATGCATTGCGTTATGAAGCTAGTATAATTTAATGAGCAACCTTTCAACCCTTGATATTTTTATAGCAACAATTAGAAGTGAGATTCATATTTAAGTGAAATTAGAGGATCTTTAGATGTTCTCCTCAAAGGCGTCACGCTAACAACTATATATCATTTCAATTTTTGTTAGCTCTTGGAAAGTCCAAGTTCCATGTATGTATAAGATAAACCAAGTGGGCCAGGGGATCCAAACTTCCCTTGTTAACAGATTTTACTGATGTAAGTACATATAATGGTCTAATGATATTAGAAAATGAGTTTAATACTCATTTTGCAAGTTTAACAAAGCAAATAAATTAGTAGGAAATTGGTGTGTGCTTGTAAGAAGTTGGAAAATTTACTAAAAGTAGAAGGTTGAAACTGTATGCATGAAGAAGAGTGTTTCTGCTTATTTACTTCGTTGATGACCCTCCTTCCTTCTTCGGTTACTAAATTAAAGGGTGGAACTTGTTGAAAAATGGCATGGTGAAGTCGAGTGAGTTTCACCAAAGAGTAAAATATTAAAGTGCCGATACATAATGTATCAAACAATCAGTGGACTGAATTATAAGAAATACTTTAGACGAAGATTTTAGAGGATGTCTAAAAAGAATGCATAGTATGGAATAGGACGATAACCTGCCTTAATGTTACAGAAGAACCAGCCCTGTTGTCCATTATACCTGACTGTTGTATATTAGTTATCTATATCAGGTAGTAGAGGTTGAACTTGGTGAAGGAGAGTGAGCAACGGTTGGTATTTATATGCGAGCATGGTGCTAAACTTTTCGTTCTTCGTGGCCAAGAGGCATTACCTCAGCAACTTCTCTCATAACGGATTAAGGTTAATAGAGGTTGAATTTAGCTTCTATTTTCAGGAAACATAGACTCAATTGTTTTGGGTAGAAAGAACAGGCCCCGTATAACTTTATTATTATTTTTCTTTAGAATTAATGGTTTAAGCTGATATTTCTTTAATAGCTCTTAATTAAAATTATCTTTTGCTAGTTGTTTTACCCATCAGTCAATAAGTATCTCTCTCTGAGAACAGGCCAATCAGTGCGAGATTAAAGAGATCAGTTGTGTATATGTCTCTATCTGAATCTTGAAATTCTGATACCAAGAGAGGGAGCAAAAGGGGGTTGACCTTGGGCATATATCTTTTTCTTCAAGGATTGAAACTTTTGACGAGACTCTTGTTTCCCTTTGTTGCTCAGTATGATTCTTGTTTTGAAAGATACACAGTCAAAAAGAAGTGTGTGAAAGATGAGAAAAAGATATTCCACGTTGAATTCTTCTCAATAGAATGTCAAAAAGTAGGAGTTGCCTTGTGGTGTAAAAAACCATGAAACCCATTTACCTTCCAATATAAGCAGTCCTTGTTCTTTAGGCCTTTGAAAACTTTATCATATTCGTCCAAGTTTGAGTCAGAGCACCTAGCTTAAGTATTAATGTGGTAATTTTCTTTAGATTCGGTATTATAGTAGCAATACATTGATCATGCAATAATATCAATGACAAGCCAATTGGCATGAATATGAATGTACAAGAAATGCATATCACTATTAACTGTTGACTGTGTCACTAAGTAATATAAACGCCACAGTTATTCTGTATTTATGCTTGATTTCTTCTTCATTTCCAGATAAATTGATTTCTTACAGGTCTACAAGATGCTTGATCTTTACTGTAAAATGTTCTTGAGATCCATCCGCATATGATAAGTCACGCTAGATCCTTGACATTATAGAACCCTCTAACTGGATTATTCAGGGGGGAAAAAATGCTTTTGATCCTTAAAGTCGTAGACTCTTTTCTATAAAGTAACAGAAATGGGTAGTCAATTAGCGCTTTAGGATTTTTTGGCTGCTAGCGCTAAACATCTTGTTTCGACCTGTGTCTATTACAATATTGGTCTTCAGCTGAAATTGCAAGGTTTCTCTTTAGGAAATTAGTAACGAGGAACATATGGAGATGCACGCTCCAAAAGTTGAGGATCTCCACCACCTCTAAAGTAGGAATATATCCTTTGCTTCAATTGAGATAAATCGCACAAATAAAGTTGACGTTCTCCTAGGTAGGGAAGGGGCTTGGCGCGATAGAATAAAGCTCTGCAGACTGTTGCTCGTGTTTGAGGTATCTAAATGTGGAAGAAACAGCAGAAACCTTAGCAGGTCTCTTCTTTTCAACGTGCATGATATTCGTGCACTTTTCGGTTGCATGCTAGAAGATATCTTGTTGTATGTATGCTTTTAATCGTTGTTAATGCACTCATCAAAATGACATTACAATACTGTATATTAGCTCTGGTTACTCCTGCCAAATATTCATGTAGGTATTAGATCTATGCTAAGAAAAATTGCCAGAACTTAGCTGTCCTCTATGGAGTCCCAAAACTATGGTCAAGTCTAAAGCATGAATCAATTCTGTAGGGGTATACACTATTGATCACAAACAAATGAGCAAAGTTCACAAAAGTCCCTTGCAGTTTGGGTGTTTTTCGCTCAACCCCCATTAAGTTTTAGGAAATCCAGTAAACCCCCAAAACGTTTAAATTTTTTTTTTCACTCACCTCACATGGCAATGTTACATAAAATAGCATCAATTTAGAGTTTTGAAGGACGAAATCACCAAAAATAACTTTTGGGGTTTGGTAGCCGCGACCTGGGAGCAAACACAAGCAAAGGGAAGGATAAAGAAGACGCGATGCCGATTCTAGGGTGAAAATATAAAAGAGGACATGAATAGGTCTATGAAAAGTAGGAATATTTTCGTCTTTTGACAGAAATGTCATGCATCATACTCACGGTGTTAGTTTTGGGGGGTTTTCTGACCGAACTTATTTGACATTAAGTGAAATTTTCTAACTTTTTGGGGCTAAGGTGAATGCCCGGGCTTATTGTGAGGGATTTAGTATACTTAACCCTAAATAAAATGTCAAATCCTACGCTAAAAAATAATCTTTGAATACTAATTACAACGTGCCTTGTCTGTGTGATAAATTGCATGCAAATTTTCTGAATATGCAAGATTAAGATACATGAAACTTATCTGCTGTGTTCTCGCTTCTTACGTGTTTGTTGCGTATCTTTTGATAATTTTTTAGTGAGGACAGTATGATCGACATGACAATTTACATTACAAACCTATTCTTTTATAGAGCTGGATCAAGTTCTCCTGCCAAATATTTCAATTGTAGTTCTGCTCCATTTTCTTGATTTGTACATGAATTTCTAAATTGCTTGGATAAACTCTCAACGAGTTTGATGATTTTTGCCTTTTCTAGTACCAAAGGAAATGTAAACTCGATTGCCAAGTGATTTGTTACTAACAATTTTAAGTTTTCACTTTACTCTTTTGCCTGAATTACGTGATGCTTGATGTGGGCTTATAACATATTATGTCAAAAACTTGTACATGACAGATTCGCATCATGATATTTGTAGAACATGATTAATGTTCCAAGTCTATAGTTTACGGGGTTATTGCAACATGATTTGTCTACAATATTATCTCAAGCATGCAGATTAGCATCCCAAGACTATCAGTTAATAGTTGCTTAGTCTGTAAACATTTACTCAAGTGAAGGTAGCACTGCTCATATTGTTATTACTTAGTTAATCTCATATCGTCTTGCCATCAAAAAAAAAAAAAAAAAAAACTCATATCGTCTTAATTCTACGTATCCTTGTACTACACCCCGTAGTTGTGCTTTTTCTTTTAAATAGTGCTGATGATGCCTATCCGGTCAAAGTACTTTTTCTTTGGAAATTCCAGAGAAGTCCAGCCTCTTTAAATTAAGTACTTTCTTCTGATACCTTGATTAGGATTAATCATCAGTTGTTAGCGTAAAATAATCAAATGTTGCCCAATAATTTGTATACAAAAAAGATAGTTTGGCCGAGTGGTCTAAGGCGCCAGATTTAGGCTCTGGCCTGAAAAGGCATGGATTCAAATCCCACACATGGCATTTTTAAATTGTTAATATTTATTTTTTATTCTTTTAATAATTTGTCTATATTGTTTATCTATTTAATTAACTATGTTTATTATATTAAAAAAAACTATGTTTCTTATATTTCTGGAGATACATGTTTTAATATATTGAGACTTTAATAAAAGTAAAAAATTATCATCTAAAATTATATATATATATATATATATATATATATATATATATATATATATTCTTTACTATAGTATCTTGTGCGGAAGAGTCGGATCTATAAGAAATATTCAAAAGAGAAGGGAAAAAGAAAAGAAAAGAAAATCTATTTTATATTGTTAATTTTTAGTTAACTATGTTTTTTTGTGTTGGTGATAAAGGTTTGATATGATGAAACTTATAGAAGCGGAAACAAATAGTTTATTTTACTATATTGTTTTCTGTCGTATAAGATTCAAATATATAATTAAATATTCAAAAGAGAAGGAGAAATGGAATGAGAAGGAAAAACTATAGCATAAGTTACAAAACACTATTCCATACAGGATTTGAATCCTCTCCACCAAAAAAAAAGAAAAAAGAAGCAGTCGAGAGACCACGACTTCAATAATAGTCATTGGTTTGCCCATTATATGGTTATGATGATGTCATATTTTGGGACGGGAGAGGGCGAAGAGGGTGGAGGGGACACGTGGAGGATGGGGGAGGTGTACGCATTGAGGACCGCGGTGATGAGGTGGAATCCCGAGCTGTGGAGGGTGAGGAGGAGCTCCATTTCTTTATGGTGGTCCTGGTGGGGATCATCTTTGAATGTGATGGCGATGATGGCGACGATGACCGTGATGGCAACGTAGATGATGGTGTGTCGAATGGAGCACGACGGTGATGATGACGTCATGTTTTGGATCTGTGCGAGATATTTTCTTGATTTTGTTTTGAGAATGGAGGACTGACTTAGTTATGCATTGTAATTAGGGGTAGTAAACGAACTAATCGAATCGAATACTGAGATGTTTGTATTTGTATTTGTTCAAATTCGAACCCGAATTCAAATATCCATGTCCGCAATTTTTCGAATTTGAACTCGAATATTTGGTATCTGATAAATATTTATGACTATTCACGAATATTTATCGAATGTCAAAGTATATTCATGCTGCTAAAGAATTTATTTTTTAAAATAGTATTTAAATTTATAAATAAAAATTATTTCTTTATGATGTATATATATTCAATTCAAATATTTCATTACAAAACTAATTTAAATTTCTTTAAGTTTCTCAAAATTAGTATATAGAACTTAAGTAGAAAATATAAGTTTGACAATATAAAAATATGTGTAGTGATATAAATTATAAGCAATCAAATTTCAAACAAATATTTGATAAGGAAACAAATCGAAGGTACCTTTAGTTAAATTCCATTAATTAATAAACTCAAATATTAAATATTATTTGTTTAGAGTTAAATAAATCACCGGATTGAATATGATCGAATAGTTAGTTAAATAATTAACGAACTATTTGTTAATTATTTGGTTCGTTTCCACCCCTAATTATAATATAATGCGGTTTTAGAAGGATTAGGCTGCGCCGCTGCGGGCCTTTGGACTTATATCTAATTTGCATCCCGTTTAGGCGGCCGATTTTTTAGAGAGAATAAAAAGGAAATCTCATACTATAACCAGCATTGTTGCACGTACAAGTGCACGTGCAATAAAAATTAAATCTTGATTATTCTATTCTTATATAATAAGGTTCACTTTAATACCTTAAATTTGTTTCCTCCAACATTTCAATATATGCAAGTCTAATTTTCCATTACAATCCACTACAAACCATTTAGATGATATCCCAACCATTTTAAAGAGAAGATACTATTCACTTCAACAAACTGAAAACAACAGGAAAACTATTTTATATTA